AAAAATCTAAATTATAAATATAAATTGCAAAATTAGTTAAGAAAAATAACAAAATACAATTAGAAACATGAAATGTTCTAATTTCAAAATATAAAAATGTAAAGTGTTCAATTACTTTAAAAGTATTAATAGAAATATATAATAAAGATATTAGAAGTACATGGTTTTTAAAAAAAAAATCTCTAGGCAAAATTTTAATAGAGTAATTGTTAAGAATGTCTTTCTAATTAGAAATATTATATAACCACACACATAATAGCGTATTATTACTAAGGACCTATGTGTAAATACTTTATCTATTGACTAGTATAAATACAATGATAGGGCTACCACATAGGTAATAGGCAAGTCATTATTTTCCACCTTTATTATTTCACATGGTATCAGTCCCCACAAGTTTTCTGAACCCTAATACCTAAAGTCGGCCGCCCCTACTACATCAACCCCGGCCCCCGTCAACACGGTGCAGCCGCCATAGCCTCGGCCGGAAAACTCCGTGACATCGCCGCGGCTATACGTTCCGGTCTCATCATCAGCGCCCGCTTCCCTCACGTAGCTGCTGTCTTCTCCAGACGTGACTTTATCTCCTGGATTATCTTCCTCTCATTTTCCGCTACCACCGATTAATTCTCACAGCCTATTCAACATGCCCGAGCTATTTAACACTCATTGGTATGTCGCCGCCTCCCATGCAGACTCCACCAGTGTTGCCGGCTCGTGCAACATCCTCACTGCCTTCGTTTCGGGACCAAAGTGGGCTGGGCACCCCAATATTGCCACTCTTGAACCACCGCCTATTATGCGGACAACCGATTCCCCGGTAACATCTAGTCCTTTAGCAACTTTATCCTCTCAATTGTTGTTTTCAACACCTAACGTTACCCACATAGTTACTACACGGCTAGCCACGGTTGAGGATTATCTTCCGTGGTATACACAATTTGAGTCCTTTTTGGTGTCTCATGGCTTGTTGGGGATTTTAGATGGCTCGATTTCAGCCCCACTCTCTGTTGTTCGTGACCACCCCAACCTTGGTTATAGTTATTGGTTGCGTATTGATCAAACTGTACGCTCATAGTTGTTTGCTACCCCATCACTGGATATTTTGGTTGAGGTTCACGATCACCATTTCTCTGCACTCATTTGGCAACGATTGGAGACCCGGTTCATATCAAAAAGTATTGCTCGTTGAATGGAGCTCAAGCGGGTTTTGAATACTCTCTAAAAAGACTCTCAAAGCATGGATGAATATTTGAGGGAAATTAAAATTCTAGCCGATGCACTTGCCTCCATCAACTCTCCGGTCAGCAATAGGGAGCTCTTACAATCCACTATTCTTGGACTTGACTCGGAAGAATGTGTCTCTAATTACATCCATTACTCTCTTCCCGGATAGTTTTACGTTGGGCAGCCTTCACCCTCAACTTCTAGAACTCGAGTAGAGAGCACTTCTCCGGTCCCAAAATTCACATCCCGGACACCAAGCTTTTGCACCAGGAGACCAAGCCGCAGCTCATCGCCCTACAGGCCGTGGGGGTGAGCCATTTCGTGGCAATGGTGGGCAAGGCTATCGCAGAGGCAGACTGCGTGGGCATCGCGGCAGGGGGCGTGGGTACAGTGGACAGAACCACAGCAGTCAGCAGGGCCGAGGACCTCCATCGCAGGGGTACGACAGTGCCCCAGCCTTCTATGGTTGGCAGATGGCTCCTCCGACTGGTGCAAATTACCCTCCTCCACGCGGACAACAAGTTAATGGGTTTCCAGATACGGCTTTAAGTAATTCTTGTTATTTTGTAGCCAATATTAATGCTTTATCTGCATGTGTTACTCACCCCACTTTTACATGATTCCCATCAGTAGAAAATTCCTATCATCAGTCCCCCTCACCACCACCCATAGTGTATTAGTGTGTCAAATTTGCTTCTCTCCTGGTCACTCCACCTTGTCATGTTCTCGTTTGGTGAATCCTTCTGCTCTAGCACTAGCGGCTCTTCCAACGGGTGAATCAAATGAATTCGAACATGTATGACATCCTGACTCTGGAGCTTCGACTCATATGACTCCATCAGAAGATATTTTATTAAATAAATCTATTTATAATGGTCCACACTCTATTGAAGTCGCTAATGGTAATAATCTTCAAAGTTAATTTATCCCCTCCTGGCCGCCCACTACTTTTAAAACGAGTTTATCATGTCCCACAACTTAAATATAATTTGTTGCCTATTCAACGCTTATGTGCGAATAATGATTGCTCTATTATTTTTAATACAAATACTTTTTTTTGTTAAGGACAGCCACATGGGGTCATCATACTCCAAGCCACCGATAAAGACTGTGTCGACCCTTTTACAACAGCTCACCAACCCCCCATCCTTTGCTTTAAAGACGACGCCTGTTCTAGGCCCAGGTTGGCACAAACGCCTTGATCATGTGGGAATCGTATTTTATTTCTCTTACGAAAAATAATTTAATTACAAGTTTCAGTTTGTTTTCTCATGACTGTGTTTCGTGTAAACTGGGCAAGTCCCATCGTCTTCCCTTTCAAGATGTTATTCATGACTTTACGACTCCTTACAGCTTATACATTATAATCTTTGGCAATCGTCCGTGTTGTCTAATTTAGGTTTTAAATATTAGGTCTCATTTATTGATGATTTTTCTAGATTCACGTGGGTCTATCCTATGCATCAAAAATATGAGTTATTTCTTCATTTTTGCAATTTTCAAAAATTAGTTGAAAATTTATTTAATTGTAAAATTAAGTGTTTTCAAAGTGATGGAGGTGGTTTTTCATGTCCGGATACTGCTGCTCAGAATGATGTGACAGAACGTAAACATCGACACTTGCTTGAATTAGCATAGACCATGCTTATTGACACTCAACCTCCAAATTCCTTTTGGGTTGATGCTTCATACACGATTACTTACACCATTTTGAGTCATGTGTCTTCGTTTGAGAAACTTTTTAAAAAACCACCTTATTATAGTTTTTTATGAGTGTTTGGATGTGTTTGTTTTCCCAATCGAATTGTTTCCTCTTAAAATAAACATTCCCCACATTCCATTCTTTGTGTTTTTCTAGGATATGCACCGGGATACAAGGGCTATCGCTGCCATCCCTGAACTGGTCGTGTCTACATAACAGGGATGTTATTTTTCATGAAACCACCTTTCCCTAATTTATCAACTCACCCCACCCACTGCATCCTTATTACCTTGGTCACCTACTCGGACCGCGGATGCCTGGCCGGTAAACCCCACGGCCGCACGGTTACTCACCTCTCCCGGCCAGTCCTCTACCTCAACAAATCTGCCCACTCCGATGGTATCTTGCTCTCCTACGGCCAACCCTGTTCCCTCCACTCCACCTTCGCCACTGCCCAGGTCGACAACGGCACACCCACTGCCTAGCCCGACCATGACGACGTCACCCGACCACAATCATCCCTCTTCTCCCCTATCCCCTATCTCCACCTTTCCCGACTAGGATGGCTCCTAACAATCACCCTATGCGCAAGAGAACTATAGACGGAATTTTTACACCCAAAAAAATTTAATTTAAATACTTTAGCGCTCCCGAATGATGCCACATGTTTTTCTCTGGAAAATAATTTTTTAGTTTGGCGAACAGTCATGGTAGAGGAATTTAATGCACTAATTGCTAATAAAACTTGAGATTTAGTACCCTGTGACAAGACAAAATGTGTGGTCAGTTGTAAATGGATTTATAAGACTAAATATCAATCTGATGGTTCTATTGAGCGCCATAAGGCTCATTTGGTTGCTCAAGGGTTTAACAAATAGGTTGGGGATAGATTTTTCTGAGACTTTTAGTCATGTGTTCAAATCTACTACTGTTCATCTTGTTCCTTGAGTATCTATCTCCTTGGGTTGGAAAATTCTCCAGTTAAATGTCAAAACTCTCTTTCTCCATGGTAACCTCACCGAAGAGGTTTCTATGCGTCAACCTCCTGGGTTTGTTCATCCCCAGTTTCCTAATCATATATGTCGTCTTCACAAAGCTACCTATGGTTCAAAACAAGCACCTAAAGTGTGGTTTCACTGTTTGTGGATTTTTACTGTCACATGGATTTTCTCAAAACAGGTGTGACTCGTCCTTGTTTATGTTTCAGTCTCACTCCCAAACTCTCTACATCTTACTGTATGTAGATGATATTCTCATTGCTGATAGCTCCAGGGAGACCGTCGCTAATTGATCAAACACCACCGTGTGAAAGAAGCTAACTCCTACAATGCCGCTCTAGACTAAATAGTGATTGCGCGACCATTCGAGGTAATTCTAAGACTAAAAGGTCATCATTTAAATAAGGGGAAAATAATATAGAAAAAATTCCACTTTTGGTCCCATGATTATTATACCACTTCAACATTTAGTCCCTTACTTTCAGATTATCCACATTTAGCCCGTGACCATTATCCCCTCACCACCCCTCGTCATTCCGGCCAAAATTTTGGCAAATTTAATGCAGATTTTAGGTATGAAAAAACCAAATTTAATGCAAAGACTGATATGAAAATTAAAATCCGACCTTATATAAAATTTAATGCAAAGACTGATTTTGAGGCTGATAAGTGGACTAAATTTCTCGGAATTTTGGCCGGATGGACGAGGGGTGGTGAGGGGATAATGGTCATGGACTAAATGTGGACAATCTGAAAGTAAGAGACTAAATGTGGAAGTGGTATAATAGTCATGGGACCAAAAGTGGATTTTTTTCAATAATATAAATACTCTAAACTTTGAAGGGGTACTGTGTGAGATTAACACTCCAAACTTGCATATGCAATATATATATATATATATATATATATATATATATATATATATATATATATATATATATATATATACACATTCCAAACTCTATATAAAAGTTGTATGTTCGTACACATATAAATTAAGTTTAGAGTATTTTAAATTAATTATGTACTTATACCAATTAATTTATATTTGTATAAGTTGTATAATAAATAATATTAAATCTGATACTTAACACCATAAAATTATATTTGTGCAATTTGAGATACTTATGTCAAACCAGTTCAAAGTTTGAGATATTTAAATTATTTTCTTCTTTTAAATAAATCCTATCAAATTTATCATCTTGGTGATTTGCACTAAAACGTGTCTCACACGTGGATGATTATTTTCCAGTTCACTCTTTTCCCTTTTCTTTAATAGTATATCATGGGAAAAGGCAAAAGGTAAAGACGACAATGGTGTCATGACAGAGCAAGTGTTAGAATAGTGGACTATATGTCATGTCCCCATTCAATTGTATCTTTTGAAATACTTTTTTTTTGTAGAATGATAGAATGGTTGGTACAAATATATAAAGGGTAATGTATGTGGAACTCTATAATCATAAATTAACACAACCTGCAAAAGCCTGCAGATATATATAAAGGGTGAACCAGCCTTTTTTCCTTCTTTCATATTGTTTTATAGGTTTTGCAGAATGCAGATGGCTGATGAATTCAAGCATTTGGTTCTTGTTAAGTTCAAGGAAGATGCTGTTGTGGAAGACATTCTTAAAGGAATGGAAAAGCTTGTTTCCGAAGTGGACACTGTCAAGTCCTTTGTCTGGTAATTAATGCATATTCACTGCGTTTATTGGAACAAGAACCAAAGTTTGAAAGATGCTGTTTTAGAGTTTGTTCCATAATATCAAAACCCGCTTAATCGGTATATTTGGTTAAAATTTATAAAGTTCTGATCGAAGGTCGTGGATTGATTGATTTTTTACTGATTTATGTAAAAATTATATTTAAAATATATTTTATTAAGCCAATAGAAAATAACTAAAATGGTCATCAACAGTAACTTCATCTAATACAGCAAGAAATTTAACTCAAATATTACCTTTTCTTATTTTATTACAAAATTTAGCGCGCAAAATAAAAAGTTACATGTTTGGTGAAAAATTTACGGATAAACCGAAAAATATTCTAATTAAACTGGCTCTTAATTTTGGGTGTGTTTAGTGATCTGAAGCCAAAATGTTTGATTAAAGAGTTGGCCAAAGTATATTTTAGGCGATGGGTTTCATTTTTTCAAACGAAACATGTTAAATTAACACAATACGGAGTATGTGATATGTCTCACATGCTTGTGTTGTAACATTTTTTCTTTCGGTCAATATTCTATTTTTTGGAGCATTTACTTTTTATGGAAGATTTTATTTATAAAAACACCTAAATACTCTTAGCTTTGATTTTTAATTATCCTCTCATTCACATTATCACTATCATTAATTTCTTTCATATTCTATCTCTTTATCACTTTATACCACCCTTACTATTTTTCTCTTAAACTTGTTCCAACACCTAATGTTGCAAACAAAAAACTACAAGGGAGTATGAGAACTATGACATTTCAATATTTTTAGTTTTTAGAAATATGTTTCTTTTTTACTTATATTATGCAATTTTTGATTTTTTCCGTGACAATCGTGATCGTTGTCATGGGCGTAACTAGGATGTTTATTAGTCTCGACTCTCATCATTGTGACTACATGTAGTCACTACGATGTAAATTTAAACATAATTATAGTCAATAAAGGTGTTTTCTTTTGAACAAGTTTCAGTCTCAGCCCAGATCAGAACAAACCATATCACATGAGACCAGACTTTCGTAGTTATAAAATACATCGAGACCAGACATTTTCCAAACCAGACAAGATCAGACCAGACCTTACCAACAAATTTCAGTCCAAAAGAAAACATCCTAAATGTTATTGAGTTGTATTTTTGTCTATTACATTTTCAATAGTAATATTAGGATGTTTTTACTTGGACTGAAATTTGCTGGTCTGTCCTGGTCTTGTCTCGTCTGTTCTGATTTGAACTGGATTCGTCTGGTTTGGTAAATGTCTAATCTCTGTATATTTTATAACTATGGAAGAATCGTCTCATTTGTTTAAATCCTGTCTTGTCTGGGACTGAAAATGATCAGAGTAAAAACATTCTTCTTAGTCAAAGTTTGCTGGTTTGTTAGACTATAGACTACTTAGTTGCTGGCAAATCGTCATTTTGTTTTAGTTTTTTCATAGGGGTCTATATCAAATTATGACGGTAGACTTGATAATGTTTATATATTGCTTGTGTGGCAATATCTTCAACAAAAACATACCACTGAGATTCGATGTCTTTCACATTTTTAAGTATTTGACGATCCTATATAGACTATTTAAAGGTGAGTATTTTTTTACATTTTTACTTCGGGTACACACTTTTGCACACACTCTTACACACTCGTGTTTGTGTAGGTGTTTTTTTTTCTCTGCTCCAGAAAAAACGTATTTGTCAAATACGTTTTGTGGGATAAATACGTTTTATCTGGGACAGACAAAAAAAACGTCTATACAAAGACGAGTGTGTGAGAGTGTGTACACAAAGTGCGTACCTTTAGATTTTTTTCTTCAGATTTATAACACAACCTTTCAAGAACCGGCACATATTTACAAAGTGCATTAAAATGTCACATTGCTGTTCATTATTTATTCTATTGAATTTATTTGTTTATTTTTACATAGGGGAAAAGACACAGAGAGCCATGAAATGCTAAGACAAGGCTTGACACACGCTTTCTTGATGACATTCAACAGCAAAGATGATCACACCGCTTTTGCTAGCCATCCCAAGCACCTCGAGTTTTCTGCTTCTTTCTCGACTGCAATTGAAAAGGCTGTTCTGCTTGATTTCCCCTCCATTGCGGTTAAACCTCCCGCTTAATCATTCCTGAAAATATGGTTATCACATCGCCATATGAAATAAAATTTCTGTTTCTTTATATGCTCAGATGTGTGCTGATATATGTTTAGTTGTAATCCGACATTATATGTTGCTGTAGTATTCCAGTCATGGATCTGATATTTATGTTCCCACTTAATGTCTAGCTTAATAACTTTGAGATTTATTAATGGTTGTGTGGTTTAAAATGGGAAGATAAGTCAGCATTGATGTTACCTTGTTATTAATATAGAGTGTTGAACGATGCAGAAAAAGTACTCCATAATTTGTGTTTCTTGCTTTAAATGAAAACACTTTAAAAATGGTGAAATAGCTTTGTTGGTCGAAGTATGTGAGTGTAGTATATTACTAAAAATAAGATAAAAGACAAAAAAGTGACATGTTTTTTATAATTCCAAAAATGTGACCAACTCCCTTCAGTGCAAAGTGACTCCGACCAAAGTGACTACCTCACCGGCCACAGTTACTGCCTCACCGACCACGGTGACTGCCCCACCGGCCACGATGGCTGTCCCCACCAGCCATGGTGGCTGCCTCCACCGGCCACGGTGACTGCCCCACCGGTACAGTGACTGTCCCCGGCCACAGTGACTGTCCCCGGCCACAGTGACTGCCCACTGGTCACAGTGACACGCTAACTCCGATCATAATGACACACTGCCTCCGGTGTCCCCGCATACCCAACCCTAGCGCCGCCCTGACCATCACCGCGGACCGTCGTGGATCGCCGTCGCCGACCACCACCCCAGACCCAATAACCTTCCCAGCCCCCATCCACTTTCCCAACACCCTCCAATCCCCTCCCCACCTCCCAGCCCGACCCCCACCCAAGATCTAGCCCAAACCGCACTAAAACAGCCAGATCTAGCTCTGACCAGCCCCTCTACAACCGTTGCACCATATCTGCACTCAGTCTTCATCTCCCGCACATCTGAACCGACGGCGGCGGAGTAGCGAGATGAAATCGCCGTATACTTGAAGCCCCAACCGCCGCCCTAGCCACATGTGGTTAGTTCAAAACACCGCTGCATGCCTGCATCGAAAGCTCAGCCATACCGCCGCACCATGTTCGGACAGAAGGAGTAGAATAAGAGATGTGCAAGTGAGAGCGGTTGATGAAGGCAACAACAATGTTGAAATTGGCGGCGGCGGTGTCGATGTTAGCGACGATAGGTGATAAATTATATTCTAGAGAGAACTGAGAGCTAGAGAGAGAAGTGCAAGTAAATGCTTCAATAAATGATTTTCCAACCCCTACAACTACCTTCAGAGGAAGTATTTATTGGAAAAATACGGATTGGGCTCCCAAGACTTGGGCTTGGGGAGGCCCATTTATAACTGGACCGCTATTGGGCCGAATACAAAGTAAATGATGGAGTATACAGATGAGTAAGTGTAAAATCCGGTTCAGGGAGTTCTTTATGGCCGACGAGGGCCCGGCCGACGAGTGCACGGCTGACGAAGACTCGGCCGACGAGGTCACCCAGTTCTTCTGGCTTCCGGATCATGTTCTGGGTTGACTTCGTTCCGGCCGATGAGGGGCATCTGGCCGATGAGGGTCCCACTGGGTGACAGCTGTGCCTTCTGTTTTCCTGAGTATGTGGGTCCTGGGGCCTAGACCCATATACTCCATCAGGAGTCCCCCACTCTCTAAGCTGAGATGTAGACGAAGTGAAGGAGAGTAGATTCCTATTCTTTTTATGCTTGGCCGTTGCGTGTCCCCTGTTGTGGACGGGAGAGATCCTAGCCATGCGGATGGTACGTGTTCTTTCCTCTCTAGGACGGTGAATACCCTTGCTTGATGGGGGTGGTGAAGGTCCGCAGTTGTGAGTGGCCGATATGTGTCTTTGGCATGAGTGGCCGATGAGGGCATTCTTCCCTTTTCACGATCTTCGGTGGCTGAATTTTGTTTTTGGGCCGAGGAGACAACTGCGGTTGTGTCTTGCTTGAGGACGATGAGCGTCCTTTGCCTTGAGTGGCCGTTGTTGATTGAATTTCGTATTTTTGGCTGAGGAGGCCATTGGGGCTATCTCTTTGTTGGAGGACGATGAGCGTCCTTTGTCTTGAGTGGACGTTGAGGGCGTTGGGTATGTAAGGAATATTTGTAATTAGATTTTGATGATGCTAGATTAATTAGGACTTTAGAGTACCCCTCTTTAGACTTAATGTATTAGAATTTTCTTTTGTAAAGTTCTTAGTTTAATCGACTTAGCAGAAAGCCTCCGGAACAGAAGACCTCCTAAAGCAGAAGGGCTCCAAGGGCAGAAGACCCTTGATAAGGCATTGTTGAACAGAGAACCTTTGGTTCTCTGCTTCAGAACAGAAAACCTCAGGGTCTCTGTTACTCTTTACTCTGACAGAACCCCTCCTGGTTCTCTGTTGGATATATTCTCAACAGAAGTGCTCCAGACCTTTTCTGATCAACTCTCTGTTAAAGACACCAGAAGGCCTGACACATAGAAGAATTCCACAAAGCCGGGAAATCAACTGGAAGATTCCTTCAACGGCTAGGAGAATTGAACGGAAACGCTACAGTGCACGCAATAAATGCACATTTAATGCGCCCCATGCTCCGTAGAGTTATTGCAGATGATTGGCCGCAATGTGAGGATTACTTTATCCCAAAATAGTAACCCGCCAACTTTACCGGGTCCTACTGGTCAAGTCAACTGCTCGCTCATTTAATGCAGTTTTCCTCCTTCTCCTCCAACGGGAAGACAACCTCAGTATAAAAGATACACTACGAAGAACAACCGGACAACTTTTGCAATTTTGCTAACCTTTGCTACAACTCTGCATACAAGAAATTCAAACGCTTAAAAGCAAAAAGCCTCATTGAGATTAACACTTCATCATCCTCTACAAGAGAAGGCAGAAGTTGGAAAAATCCTTATTTCCAACTCAAGCAAAGTTCCAAGTGTTCTTCAACTCTTCAAGCTCATCACATACAAACTCTTTGTAACGAAGCAAGTTGGAGGAACCCCTGTTCTAAATAGAACCTCTTCTTTCACAAGAAGGACGTCCAAGTACCTAGAGCTGTGAAGTGGCGATACTTCTGGGAAAGCTCAGTGAAAGGACCAGTCTTAGGGAAGCCGGAAGTGCATCCAAGAAGACATCTACACTTGAAGAAGACGTTGAGAGATTCTTAAGTGATAGGGCTAAGGCTTTGTAAACGGAAGTTTTTACAGCTTAGTGGAATAGTGGACTAGAGGAACAAGTTGTTCCTTGAACCACTATAAAAAGCCCTGATGTCATTTACTTACTGCTTTTCATTCATTGTCTTTATTTGAACTGTTTGACGCCATAGACTTGGTATCTGTGTTCAGCAGAACTGGTCTTGTGAGTTAACAGAAGGCCTACTGCCTTTGCTTCTCTGAGGCTATTAACAGAACTCCCTACCAGAACCCCATCCGCTTCCAGTCTGTTCTGTCAACAGAACAAGCTATTCTGTTAAATCTGGTACTTAGCTTGAAAAAGTTAAAAACCAATACAGTCTATTCACCCCCTCCTCTAGACTGTATGCAGTACAACCGGGACCAACAAGTGGTATCAGAGCCTCCTTATTCTATTAATCTCTTAGGTTATTTGTTGAACAAAGATCCACTTGTTTTTCTGTTTTACCCCATTTTTTATCTGATATAATGGATCACTCCTTGTCCAAGAATCTTATGTTTTCAGATCTTAAGTTTGATGACTGGAGGATCCGGATGAAGGCACATCTCTGTGCTCTTCATGATGAGATGTGGGAAGTTCTTGACATAGGACCCTTCACAAGCTTCCAGAAGGTCAACCCAGAACATGCTATTGACAACACTAGACCTCAGATGATCAATAAGGCCAAATCTGAGTGGACAACTGAAGAAAGAAGGAAGTACAATCTGGACAATATTGCTAAGGACATCCTTTACAAGTCCAATGATGATAGGTACTTCAACAGAATAAAGAAGTGCAAAACTGCAAAGGAAATCTGGGATACTCTTGAGCTCATTGGAGCTGGTGATGAGCAAGAGAAGGACAACAAACTGACAATAGCCAACAAGAAGTTTGATGACTTCAAACTTCTCCCTGGTGAAAGCATCTCCAAGATGTATGACAGGCTTCTCACTCTCACTGGAGAGATCTCTGAGCTTGGCAAGGAACTCCCCACCAAGGAGATCAACCTGAAGGTGTTGAGGGGACTGCCCTCAGCATGGAAGATGAAGGTGGTTGCTGTCCAAGCCAGCAAGGATGTAAAGACTTATCCCACTGATAAGCTCATTTCAGATCTCAAAGCTCATGAGTTTGAAATGATTGAAGAAAAAGAAGATGTACCAGAAGAGAGGACCAGTACAGTCCTCACTGCTAGCACATCAAAGGTAAATGATTTTGACCCTTCAGTACTTTTATCTAACGAATATATGGATGCTTTTGCTAGGAGATTCAAGAAGTTCATGAAGAATCCCAAAGATGGAAGAAGTCCATCATTCAACAGAAAGCCATACCAGAAGGTCAAAACAACAGAAAGCAGTGGTGAGCTTCTCTGTTACAACTGCAGACAACCTGGACATTTCAAAGCAGAATGTCCACATCCAAGAGTGTCCAAGAAACAAGGGCATGATGGAGAAAAGAAGAAGTATGAAGACAACTCCAGAAGGAGAAAGGCACTTGTGACAGAACAGCTTGAGAAAGACCCTCTGTCAGAAACAGAATCTAGTTCTGACTCAGATTCTGATGAGGCCTTCTGTTGCCTTGATACTGAGACAGAAGACCTATGCCTCATGGCTCATTGTGATGATGAGGTAACCTCTGCTTCTGAATCTAGTTTTTCTTCGGTAGGCTTAGCTTTTGATTCTGATTCAATGTCAGAATTTTGGGAAGAGTTTAAGGCTATACAAGCCACTTATTCCTCTGTAACAGAAGAAAACAGTAAGTTGAAAGCTGAAATTCTTGACTTGAAAAAGGAGGTTGAGATCAAAATCAATCTTCTAATCAAGGAAAGAGATCAGCTGGAGACTGAAAATGTTTCTCTTCTCAAGAGAATAAGAGAAATAGAGCCTCTCGAGATTAAGTACACAGCTTACCAAAAGGCCCAGTTTTCCATGGAAAAGATTGTACTTGATCAACAGATTGGCACTGGTTTTGGTCTTTGTTATGGCTCAACAGAATCAGGTGAGCCTTCTGTAATGCCTAGCACCAGTGTTGCTAAGGCAGATAAGGTCATAGTGCCACTGATTTCTAGCCCCATCTGTCAAGCTGGTTTATCTGGCACCAAGGTTGTTCATAAGGAAGTCAGACCAGAAAAGGGAAAGATAAAGGTTCAACAGAAATCCTTTTTGAAAGATAAT